TACCGGGGAACAAACAGTCTGTGGCCTGACCCACACCACCACACCCCGAATTTCAGAACATAAAAGGGTTTAGGCACACTTTTTCACGTGGTTCCCCTGGACCTACAGCAGCTGCTGGGAGGAGGAGATGGGACAACCCACCGCGGGTGGCAGAGGTGGAGCCCCTGCTCTGCTGACCGGGGCTGAAAAAGAACCAAAGCACCGCGTTTAAGTGGAATTAAACCCAGCCTAGGCACGGCTTGGTGCTGCCATCAGGTGGCAGGCACATCCAGCATCGCTCCTCTGAAGCCTCTCCGATGTTTCAGCCGCGGCTCACCGGAGTTTGTAGGACACTTGTCCTGCCCCAGAGATCCCTCTAGAGGGGTGTTTGAACAGCGCACATGCAAATATCAGCGTTTTCAGGAAGCGGAAATACCTGCAAGAGTCTGGCACTCTCTGGTGACCGCAAACAAGGAGGTTTCTGAGGCCCCGAGGGTTGAACCAGCAGGAAACTTCGCTCCCATTCAGCCTTGAGCAGCTGGAGATCCCTGTACTCCCCAGGACAGCAAACCTCCTATCTGTGGGAACGTCCTGTGGCTACTCAGACAGAGTCACTCGTGGCACCTTATCCCCCAGGGATGATTCTTCCCTTTTTACAATGTGTTTGGAACGTTGTGGGTAATGACACACGAATGAGAGGTTTTGGCTGTCACGCTGTGATTGTGGATTTTGTTTTAGGGGGGACCCGATCAGGAAGCAGCATTTGCACACAAACATTTCACTATGGTCACTTCAATAAGAGCAAATAACTAATCAGAGCACGTGGCAATCAAAAAAATATGCAAAGTGCCATGGCTGGTGACTGAAAAGAGAAACACAAGGGTCCAGACGTGGATAGATGCAGAGAAACATTTTCATTTCTCAGTTCTCTCCGGTAGCTCAGAAACGGAAACAAGTGCAGGGAGATTTCTACAGATGAGGAAATACTGTATTTAAAAAAAAAACAAAACCCAAACCTTCAAATTGCCCACAACCTTTGGCAATCGGTTTGGAACGGGACACTTGAATTTCCCCTTGTAACTATAAAAAGAGCTGATGTTACAGATGGCAGTGCTGGCCCCCTCAGGGCGCTGCAGGCCTTGGTGTAACGTTCTGGTGGCTTTTGATGTTCAGAGAGTGGAAAAACACTTTTATTTCTCTTGGAACTTCATCATCACACAGCCAGTGGCGTCTGACTCCGCTGGAAGACCAGAGTGCTGTAGGTAACCTCATTCTGAGGATGGGAAAGAAGCCACAAACATTACAGTGTTAAAGCACTGCCTGTCAGCAGGAATTTACCACTTTTAGTTTGTCCTCAACACCACACACCATAAACAGTCTGTCCTTACACATGGGAAATTAATGTACACTACGCTGGTTTATCCCAGTGGTTAGTCTGGCTCAGGATCCTGGGTCAAGTCTCAAGTTTAGGGGCTTCCAAAGAATTAATGTCACAAAGGCAAACCGCAGAAATCCTTGCCTTTTAAAAAGATTTCTCCTAATCTGCCTAATCAGAGGTTTAGTTAAACCCTTGAAAAACATGGGGAGTATAGAATGGTCTTTCAGGTTTGTATTTTAACTCCTGCTGTCCAGGAACCTCCTCAATACATCCCTGTACTTCTACAAACACAGGCTGAAGCCTTGGATGCCCAAAGAAAGCCCTTTTCCTTAGTCAGAACTCCTGACTAACACTCCAGTCTCACAATCAGGTGACTCTTCTCCCTTCCACCCCCAAATTAATATTCACCACCCCGTCAAGAAGGTGAAATTTCTGTATCAAGGGTTAGAAATAGCAATTGTGACCTTTACCTGGGTGTTCCTGGCATATCCCTCGGGTGCTGCCTGGAAGGAAACTTGCTCTTGTAAATGTTGGTGGGATTTCTTGTAATCTAGGAAGGAGAGTGTTTGGAGAGGCTCAGTGGTGGGTGCCAGACACATAACTTGGAAAATCTGTCCCAGATCTGCCCTGCAAAGTGGGCAGTTCGGGGCTGCCAAGTCCCTGCCCACCTGTTGGAAGTGGCCAGGATGAAAGGGACTGAGAATTTAGTGTGGCCAGGGTTAGGATGAGAAAAACCCACAACCAACAAAAACTTCCCCAGCTCATCAGGGGTGGAGTTGATTCTCCCATGAAAACAGCCTTTGAGGGGCAGGAATGACCTGTTCATCAGTGCAGGAGCTGTTCAAGGCAGATACAAATTTCAAAGTAACTTTTGCAGTTCTCATCACTCTGTTGTTACTCCCTCGACTGTACCACTTACTTTTCCTGAAGAGGCAGATGATGGCAAAAACCAGGAGAGTCAGGAGGATGCCAGAGATGAAGGCCAGTGACATGTACAGTATTTCACGGCTGTTGATACACAGAAAATCCTGTCAGAATCCCCACTTTTAACAGAGGTGTTGGAACATCAGCAGTGCTCAAATTCACCAGACTTTGTGGAGTGTAACCCATTTATCCCAAGCAGGATGAGATTAGAAGGTGCATATCTGCCTTAAGCATCACTAGTGCACAGAGCAGGTAATTGCAATGAACTTTTTAAACTCCCAGGACATCAAATATACGACATTTAACCCCTCCCTTGCAGGAGGAGGCTGCAGTCTCAGGGGACCCTGGGTTTGGAGGCAGGAAATAAAGGTGGAGCATTTACCTCTCAAACCAGCATCTAACTTGTGAAGCTTCTAAATCAGTGTGGACAGTGGTGTGGATGGTGGTCGGGACAATGGTGGGGACGTAGAAGTGGGTAGTAGTGGTGGGAGAAGTGGGTGTAACTGGAACAAAAAATAAAATAAAATAAAATATAAGACTAGTTTTAAAACATATAAATTTGTCCAAACAATAAGAACTACCTTCAGGCACATGTCTGCCCAGGGCAGTGTTATTTTTTGTGTGTAAGACTTCTCTCTATCAGAGGGCTGAAAGTGGAACCACCAGACAGGAAAATGGAGTTGTTCAATCATTACTGTCTCAGGGCAGCCATGCAGTTCTTCCACACAACATCGGCTTAGGCAAGAACACTGCAGCTAAGAAAACTGCTTAAAAAATAAAATACCTGCTGATCTTGAGGGACTGCCTCCCATTCTCTCCAAGCGCTAATGGACAGGAGGAGAAGCTGAAAGGAGGGGAGGGGAAAAAAAAGTTGTATTTATGTACATATAGATGCAAGCAAAACAAACCTGTCACCCTCTTTTAACTCAAAGACCAGTTTTAATCCAGTTTTTAGGAATCTTATAAACTGGCACAAAGCCACACCAACCCAGCAGTTCCTCAGCATCAATCCTGCTCCCCAGTGTCTTGCTCCTGGCACACGTGGTCACTACGCCCTGATGGGCACGTCGCCTTCTTCCCCCAAAAATGGAGGATATTTAACAACTAAAAAGCACCCACAGGATTATTTTCACAAGAGTTAAATCCCAGTCCACTTTATGAACACTTCCATAATCAGCAGCTTTGAAAAGTTCCCCCCTTGATGTTTTCTTTCTCAAGTTAAATTCACTTTTCTCACCAAGGCAGGAATAGCAACTTCCTCCTCAGATTTGGGGGTGGAATCTTGAAGACAGGGCTACAAGGTAGGGATTCTTAAAGACAGTCTATTGTAAAATCACTACCCTGGTATTTCTTACCACATGGTTTGCAATATGCATGAAGTAAATAATGTGAAAATGCCATAACATGAAAATATCACATCATGAAAATACCACAATATGAAAATAAACACCCTGTTCTCTGCTGCTGCCACTTTTCCTACTGCACCCCGTTGTCGCCCACATTGCAGAGGAGTCAGACCACGAAGAGCTCCCAGTTTCCAACCCCAAAACTCACAGTTTGTGTTTGCAAGAACCTTAAAGGAACAAGAAATGATGCAGTCCCATCTTACCTCCCACCATGGAAGTGGTGGTGGAAAACTCCCGGAGGGTCAGCACACCGGTTTAACCACTTGGCTTTGTGCAAAGAACCAGTTAAAAGCTCCAGTGTCATTGAGATTGTGGGGTTACAAAAATGTGGAAGTTGAGCAACTTCGCTTTTCTTATTCAAATTATCACAGAACAGGAAACCACGCACCTGCATTTTCTGGAACTGTTGAGCTACAAAAAGTAAGGCAGATTAAGCTTAGGTTGGCTTAAAGTCAGGTTCTTACACCCGAAGAGCAACTTTTTTGTGCTGTTGGATTGAAAAGTGGAGAAAACTCACTTTTACCCCACTGAGAATCGCAGCAATTCATAAAGAAGTGGGTACTGGGCACACCCCACTCTGCTCACTGCAGCTCATGAACTAAATAAATCACTGCCCAGCACACACAGGATGAATTTATACAGGTCAGTGCTTTGCTTAGCTGGGATATTTGAGTTATAACAAAACCCTGCAGGGGAAATTTCCTATGGAAGGAAAATGGAAGAGATTTATTCTGTGTATTATCATAACAGACACTGAGTTATTTCTCTTGATGCACAAGGAAAAAAAACAAACCAACAGTTTTTTTTTTTCTTTTTCCTATGAATCCCACCCTCTGAACTCACTCATTTCCCTGTTTTAAACTGAAGTCATGTTTTCTGGTAGCTTATGACATATTTCCTGCCATGTCACTCTTTTCCCAGAACCAAAACACTTTCATCACTCCCTAAAGCTTTGTTATGTAAAAAAGGAATTTTTCAGCTCATTTTGAGAACAAGGACATTCATGGAGAGCTCCTCCCACTCCAGGACCAGGTCAGTGGCAGCACAAATCACTGATTTCAGAACACGTTTGCACCGACAGCAGGTATCTGCAGGTTGTTATCACACAGAATTCTAACCCAGAGATCAGTTTGAGCAGCAGAATTTGTCTCTGTGAAGTTGTGTATCTGATCTTTGCAAGTGTTCGTGACCAAACAAGGAATCCAAAACACACACTGTGGCTGCAACTAATCCTCCACTATAAGTGACCCATCCAGCGACTTCAAACACACCCAGGCAATGACTGTTGTTAGTGAAACACAGCAGAGGGGTTGGGTTTTTGTTTGTTTAATGACGTTTTAGGATCATACAGTTTCCACCAGTAAGCACTGAGACGTGTCAGTGGGCTCAGACGAGGTCACACTGTTGCATGTGCACCCTTGGACAGCGCCTTCAGGTCCAAGATGCACTTGGCAATGCTCTCCTTTTGCTGCAAGAGAGGGGAAAGCAGCTGTCAGAGGACATTTCAAGCAAATTAGATTTTGAGTGCGTTTTAGATAGTCCTTTTTCACACCCGTGAGTTACAGATTTAAAGGGATGTAGTAATAGCTCATGAAATCAGAGATTGCAGCCAAACAAGGAGCTGCATTAAAGCAGGAATGGAAGTCTTGGAATCCCAGAATGGTTTGAGTTCAGAGGGAGCTTAAAGCTCATCCAGTTCCACCCCTGCCATGGGCAGGGACACCTTCCACTAGCCCAGGTTGCTCCAAGCCCTGTCCAACCTGGCCTTAGACACTTCCAGGAATGGGGCAGCCACAGTTTCTCTGGGTAACAAAAGCACACAGTGCTGGGAAGGTTTTCTTTATTTTTGTTCTGTTTCTTTCCTTAAAAACAAGGGCATGCAGAGCCCACCTGCAGACCTTGATCTGCCATTGTCCTACACAGAGAACTTTATGAGCAAGTTCCCTGCCCTGGGAGCTGCACATCTCATCACAGCTCAGCTCTGAGCTGCAGCAACAAATGCTACACACGATTCTGGTTTAAATCACCATAAAGCAGATAAAAACCAGCAAGTACCTGTTGGGGTGTGATGCTCTGAACAACGTTCTTCTCCACCCACTGAATCATGTAATCCTGTTCCTTCTGCTTCTTTAGGGTCTGCATGGCCACTTGGTAGTCCAGCCTCTTCTTCACCTCGTTGTACACCATCATCAGCCTCTCCCGGTAGTTGGCTTCCAGCAGCATCGCGATGTTATTCTGCGCACACAAGTGAAGTCAGCAGGTTGATGTTTGGCAAGAACACAAAGCAGCAGCAGAACGTGTTCTGAAGCAAAAGTGACAGAATCACAGAATGGTCTGGCCTGGATTTGAACCTTAAAGATAATCCACTTCTACTCCCTGCCACGGGCAGGGACACCTTCCACTAGCCCAGGCTGCTCCAAGCCCTGTCCAACCTGGCCTTGGACACTTCCAGGGATGGGGCAGCCACAGCTTCTCTGGGCAACCTGTGCCAGGGCCTCACCAGCCTCTGAGTAAACAATTCCTTTGTAATCTCTAATCTAACCCTTCCCTTGGTCTGAAGCCATTCCCCCTTATCCTGTCACTATCTGCCCACACAAGAAGTCCCTCTCCCTCCTTTTGAGTCTCTGGGTCAGGTGGTGGAAGTGGCCTTGTGTGCAACACACAGACAGCAAATGGTCTGTAACTTGTTTTGGGGTACAGGAGGCTCCCCTGGGCAGGGCAGGCTGCAGGGGGGTGGGCAGCAGAGCTGGCACCACGTACCCTCTTTGCATCAAAGAGGTAAGAGCGGCCCTCGACCCGCCACTGCTCCTTCTTCTCCTCCTCAATGGCCGCCTGGAGAGTCTCGATGGCCTCGTTCTTCACAGCCAAAGCTTTGGCCATTTTCTCCTGCAAGAAGAAACAAGAAACACCCTTCAGAATCAAAGTCAGGCTCAAGGAAAACAATCTGCAATTAACTTCTGAAACAATCTGCAATTAACTTCTGGAACTGCCCTGTGCCAGGGCTGAGGTTCAAGGGTGGCAAAACAGAATTAGGGTTCACAATCACAGAAGCCCTGAATGGTTTGGGTTGAAAGGGACCTTAAAGCTCATCTCATTCCACCCCCTGCTGTGGGCAGGGACACCTTCCACTAGCCCAGGTTGCTCCAGGACCCGTCCAACCTGGCCTTGGACACTTCCAGGGATGGGACAGCCACAGCTTCTCTGGGCAGTCTGTGCCAGGGCCTCCCCACCCTCACATTTCTCCCAAACATCCACCCATCCCTGCCCTCTGCCAGCTTGAAGCCATTCATGCTTTAATAAAACCACTCCTTATTAACTACTACAAAGTCAGATTCTGGTTTCTTTGTTACCTCGTTAAGTTTGTCAGCAAAAGCTGCCACATCAGGCCCGAACCTCTTGATGCCATAAATGATGACTGCCAAGATACAGGCAGATGCCACTGTCTCGTGGTTAACCACATAGATTTCCTTGGAAAGCAGGTAAAGCACCAGGCCAGTTCCCAGCATGTAGGGCCCTAAAGAAAACAAAGCAGCGTTATTTGCACAAGCCATGAAGAAGCTCAATAAATTCAAACACCTGAGAGGGAGCCAGTTTAAGGCTTACAAGAAGATCAGGGAGTGTTCTCTTTTTCCAGGACAAAAAGCAGAGTTATAGATCCACCTAGGAATAGGTGCCAGGAGGAATCTCACCAGAAATGGAGGCAACTTGCACCTGGCACTGCTGCTTCTGCTCACTAAGAGCAACAGGGAAAAATCCCTGTTCAAGTGATTTGAGGACCATGAGGCAATTAAATCTTCCTACAAAATCAGGCTCGTGGCATTTTTCGCCTTTATTTTAAGTGTCTGACTTTAGAGCCAGGAGTGCAGCACTGGCTTGTCCTTCACAACCTGCACATGCAAAAAAAACTACTTTTCACTAATATTTTACCTTTTCAGCAGCCAGAACTGGTGGACAGAACTACATAACTGACAACAGTAAAAGTAATGCAGAAAAGTTAAAACCTGTATTAGTAAATAGTAAAACAGCCCATATTAACCTGTGACTCCTGTTTTAGGGTAGAGAAACTGGAAAAACTCCTCGGGAATCAAACCATGACGAACTTCTCCTCCTTTCTCAGGTAGGGGTGGCAAAGGAGCCAAACTCTGCTGAGTTGTGTGCAGTTGTCTTGTGGCGTGCAGCACACTATAAACAACAACAAATAGCTTCAATTACGGTTCTTATTAAAAAAACAGACACAAATAATAATCTCCAAAACCACCCTCAAATGAGGCTCAAACAGATTTCCAATTAAATAAGCATGTAACAGGTGAGGCACTGGAATAGATTCTCCAGAGAAGCTGTGGCTGCCCCATCCCTGCAAGTGTCCAAGGCCAGCTTGGACGGGGCTTGGAGCAACCTGGGCTAGTGGAAGGTGTCCCTGCCCGTGGCAGGGGGTGGAACGAGATGAGCTTTAAGATCCTTTCCCACCCAAGCCATTCTGTGATTCGATGAAGTTGCACCTCCTTCCAGGAAGTGGGTGGGGCTAAATAACCTCCAGAGGTTCCTTCCCACCGGCCCTACTTTGCACTCATGGAGCGTTAACAAGAAAAATGAAGACAAACCCCCGGAATAACGTTGTTTAAGCACAAATAGGGGCTGGCTTCCAAGAGGCTCCCACAGTACTCACCCCACGGCCACGGGCGGCGGCGGCAGCGCCCTCAGCGCGGCGGGGGCTGGGGGGACAAGAGGGCACAGAGCGCGTCAGGGCAGAGCCCGGCAAACACAGCACCAAACCCCCCGCGCCCGCCACCCCCCCGGCCACTCACCGGCGCGGAGCACGAGGCGGGAGAGCATGGCCGGAGCGGGCAAAGCAGCGGGAATCCCCGGGAAAAGCAGCGGGAGGAGCGGCGGGGACGCGACCCCTCGTCCCGGTGACCGCCCGGCCGCCTCAGCGCTGAGATGGCGGCGAAAGGGGAACTCTCGCGAGAGCTGCGCCGGGCGGCAGGGCGGGGAGGGGAGGGCGGGCGTTGCTCTCGCGAGAGGAGGCGGCGGCGGGAGACACGTGTGTGTGTGTGGAGGGGGGGGGGCGCCCGCCGGCCCCGCTGCCTCTCCCGCCATGGAGGAGCCGCCGCTCCCGCAGCTCCCGCAGCTCCCCGCGGCCCCCTCGGGGGACGCGGCGGCCCCGCCGCCCCCCGCAGACGGCGAGCCCTCGCCCGCAGCCGGCCCCGAGTGGAACATCCCGCCCAACGCGCCCGCCTGCATGGAGCGGCACCTGGAGCGCGTGCGGTACCGCGCAGGTAACGCGGGGGTTATAGAGGTGTATGGGGAGGCAGCGGAGTGAGGAGGGTCCGGGGTGTGTGCCGGGCGCTCTCCTCACGGCTCCGCTGGGGTGTCTCTCGTTGTGTCTCTCCCGCAGACGGGGCCCTGCTGCTCGGCGCCTCCGGGCTGAACGGGCGCTGCTGGGCCGGGTCGCTGTGGGTGTTCGCCGACCCCCGGCGCGCCCCCAGCGAGGGCTTCTGCACGGCCGGTGTGCAGACGGAGGCGGGGGTGGCCGACCTGTGCTGGCTGGCGGACAGGGGCATCCTAGTGGCCTCCGACTCCGGTAAGTAACGGGGATTCCACACCCCCCTCCCCCCCCCCCGAACCTTCTTCTCTGAGGTGTCACCTTCTCCTGCACGGAGGTGGGTGTGGGTGACCCTCTCCCCATGTCATAGGTGGGTGATCCCCTCCTTTGAGGTGAGTGATCACCTGTGCCTACCTTCACTGAGGTGACTTCCCCCTCCCATCCCCTTCACGGGGGTGGGGGTGTCCCCCCTTCCCCTCCTCTGAGGTGGGTGACATCCCCCTCCCTCCACTGAGTGGGGGTGTCCCCCCTTTCCCCTTCGCTGAGTTGGGTGTCACCCTCACTTGGACAAGGGTGGGTGATCCCCTCCCCTCTTCTGAGGCGAGGGTCTCTTTCGCTGAGGTGAGTGTCCCCCCCATCTCCCCAGGTGCCGTGGAGCTGTGGGAGCTGGAGGAGAACGAGACCCTCATCGTGAACAAGTTCTGTAAATACGAGCACGACGACATCACGACGTCGGTGTCGGTCCTGGCCGGCAGCACCCAGGCTGTCAGCGGGGGCAGGGATTTCTGGTGAGTGTCCCCAGCCTGGTGAGTGCCCCAAGCCTGGTGTCTGGTGCCCCAGAGCTGGTGCTGGATGCTGACTGCTGGCTTTTGTCCACAGCGTGAAGGTTTGGGACATCCCTGAGCAGACGGTGCTGCACTCCTACAGAGGTGAGTTCCAAACCACCCCATTGCACTGCTCCTCCTGGCCCCTCACCAGTGGTGAAGCAGGCTGAGCTTCCTCCTGCAGCATTAGAGTATTTTTTCTGCACTGAAGTCTTTCTTCTACTGAGCCATATTTGTTTTGGACAACAGCCCATTTGAGGTGCTGACCCCTGGAGATGTGGTGTCATCATCTCATCATTGAGATGATGACAGAATCATTGAATCACAAGATGGTTTGGGTTGGAAGGAACCTGAAAGATCATCTCATTCCAGCCCCTGCCATGGGCAGGAACATTTCCCACTATCCCAGGTTGCTCCAAGCCATGTCCAACCTGACCTTGGGGCAGCCACCATTGACCATTGCCCTGTCACTGTCTGTCCATAGAAAAACTCCCTCTCCATCTCTCCATTTTTTTTTCCAAGCCCCCTTCCATCACACTTTGTTTGATCTGTTCTAGAGAGTTTCCCTCAAGCTCAGGGACCTGTGGTTGGGTTGGGCAGCTCATCACTTTGGTGGGAAGCAGTTGGCTGTCGCTGAGTGGAAGTTACTGGGTGTCTGGGCATAAACTGTGCTTAGTTACACTGCTGTGCCTTCAGAGGTCCTTGGGAATACGCAGGGAAGTTGGATACAACCCCTGAGGCTCTTTATCCTTTTGTGCTTTGGTAGCTCACTCGGCGGCAGTGACATGTGTGGCTTCCTGTCCTGGTAAGGACACTGTGTTCCTGTCCTGTGCTGAGGTAAAGCTCACTCTGTTGTCTAAATCTGTCTGGTAAAAATGAGATATAATTTTAGTTATTTATAGTTTAATGCGCTTAAAAAGCACCTCTTGTGTTATTACAAGCTGCATACCTGGGTTATTGGAGCATTCCAGTTTGATAAGTTCATAATCAGCTTAGCAAGCTGATTCCTACAGGTCTGTATTGAATTTTGGGAGCTCCTAGTTCTGTCCTTGGTGTGATTGAAGGCTGCAGTTAATGGCAGCATCATTTTAACCCAAAAGGAAGAGAAGGGGGTGGTTTTGACTGGAGGTCAGCAGCAGTTCTGCAGTGAATGTGAGTTTATGCCACAAAGACATTGCAAAACCCTTTTTATTTCCTTTGGATTTGCAGGACAACAGAACTTTACTCTGGGACACCAGATGCCCTAAACCAGCTACCCGAATTGGTATGTCTCTGTACACAGTCACTGCTTGTACATGAGTTTGCGTTGGAAGAAAGAAATTATTTTATGCCTGACTTCTGTATCTAACTCCAAATCTAGTGATGTGATCCTAAAAAAGCCTGTTAAAACCTAAGGAGGTTTAACACTGTCACAGAAGTACAATAAGCTTAAAATACTTGTCTTATTGCTGTAGCAGTGCTAAATGAGATAGTACAAAGATATTCCTACTCTGACTCTTTCCACACTCATCCCAATTTCTTCCCTTGCAGTTTGCAGTGCCTGTAATTACCTCCCTACCTCAATCATGTGGCATCCACAGAAAAGTGACATCTTCGTTTTGGGTAAGAACCTTCACTTTCACCAGGCAGATCAAGCTCTTTTGTTTTCACAGCGACCGTTTTGCTAATAACTTCCCTCTCCCTCTCCTCAAGGTGATGAAAGTGGAACAGTTGCACTAGTAGACACAAAGAATCCTGACTCTGCCCTCAGTGCCACCGTGCACACCCGGAGCATCACGGGGTTTGCATTCTCTGCACACAGGTACAGTCTGATACACTGGTGTAGAAGTGACTGAATCCCCTGGAAAACCTTATTTTTGGGGTTAAAACGACAACAACAAAAAAGAGAGTACTACCAGTCTTTTTATCAAGATTGTAGCAAAGAATAGAGTAAACCAAACAACATCTCACTTATGACATGTGTGAATATCCGTGAGAACACTTCTGCAGTTTCAGAATTACTGACCCACTCGCTGTGGGGATTTTTCCTCTGCCACCTCTGATTAAAGAAGGATCATTTGCTTTCTGACTCTAATAAAATATTCTTAGTGTGGTGGCAACCTGCCAAACGGTGAAAACATTTCTGTAAGATTTTGTGCCTCTTAATTCACTGTACCTGGGTGAGGATCACTAAGAATCCTACTTTTCATAAGTTTGTCCCTAAAAATTTGTGTGTTTGATTCTTCTAACCATGATTTCATCTCTGTCCTCCAGTTCACCCTTACTGGCTTCAATCAGTGAAGACTGTTCAGTTGCTGTTCTTGACTCAGACCTCTCAGAGGTGTAAGTACAGGCAGAACATGTTCATTCCTGTGGCTGTCTTCTCAAATTAATTATTTATCTGTAGAATCACAGAGTGATTTGGGTTGGAAAGGACCTTAAAAATCCCCCATGGGCAGGGATACTTTCCATTATCCCAGGGTGCTCCAAGCCCTGTCCAACCTGACCTTGGACACTTCCAGGGGTGGCAAGTCCACAACCTCTCTGGGCAACCTGGAGGTGAAAATATTCCTAAATGAGGGAGCATCATCCCAGAAAACCTAGCAGTTAGGAATTGCACAAGCCCATCAACTCTCAGGGTTTCATGGCTAACGGAGTGTTGGTGTTTTCCAGGTTCAGAAACCGTTCTCATCGAGACTTTGTAAAAGGCTTGGCCTGGTCTCCTTCAGACGATGCCTTGCTCACTACAGTTGGATGGGATCATCAGGTTCTACATCACACTGTCCCCATACCAACTGGTGAAGCTTCTGGAGTCAACTGTGTAAAAGAATAGTTTTATAAACTCATGGTCCAAGGTCCTTCCTGGCATCACTTTGATTCTGCTGAAGTCGAAGGTGTGTGTGAACTGGAGCGGGGATGGTCTGTTGTCTGCCTTGAGGCTTGTGGCTAAGAAGGTTCCTGTAGTAATTTTGAATTAGGCCTAAGTTAGTTACAAAGCAAGCTTTGCCCTCTCCTCAGGAGTGCTTCTGTAATACCCAGAAAAAAAAAAAAAATTGGCTTCAGGTACAGAGGAGACTTGGAGAGATGGGGAATTAGGGGTAATGAAAAATAAACTTAAGTCAAAAAGGCTTGATTTCTCCCTCAGTTCTCCAAACCACCCATGGGTGTGAGAGCCTTGCCCTTGAGCAAAGTTCTTTGCTCTGAAAGTTAATTTTTCCAGTGGGATGGGAAGACATGTTCCAAATCAAAGACTAGAAGGGTTCCAGTGTTGTCCTTAATGCAGCACTTGGTTTAGAGCACTGGGCTTCAGTACCAGTGTGGCTCCTGTGGTGAGCACTGGTTGTGCACTGGTATCGACACCAGAGCTTGGTGTCAGGAGTCTTGTACATTGTAAAATGAGGCTCCCAGCTGTGGCCCTGTAATTAAACACCTTTGTCATGGTGCTGAAATCCTGGGACCTGTGATGCTCAGCACGTGCTTGGCCCCAGGGCCAGTTAAAGGGACTGAAAGCCAGAAGTGAGCAGTTGCTGTGCTGTTTGACACCGTATTTCATCTCCTCTGGGCTGAAGGTGACTTAAAGATAAGACCTGTGAACAAACGGTTTCTGTAAGGGAAAAACTGGACTAAGGACTTCAGTTGTCATTTGCTTGCTCCTGTAACAGACTGCTTAGTGATAAACCAGACTCCTCGTGCACTTGTGATGAGTGACTTCTGTGCCAGTGACTGAGGGGACACAGCATTCCCAGAATCCCCAAAACAGACGCCACATAACCCCTAGAGGTGTTTTTTTTGTCATGTATCACATCCATTTCTATAACTAAACTGTTTCCCTGGAACATATTTAACTGAAAAAAACCCTGTCATTGCTCTGCATGAATTGCTGCTGCTCTAGATATGGCTTGGTCTGGCCTAGTATCTCCTAGACAGAATTAAGCAAGTCCTGACTAATGAAACAAAAATACTGTTGAAATGAATGTTACCCACTGGTTCTTTAGCATGATAGCAACACTTAAATGTACACTGCTTCCAGTGTTTATTCCTGCATACACATAGGTTTAGTTGTGCAAAGCCCACACTTAATTTTTAGGCAGACTTAAGCTTTCCCAGGCTCTGGACTTTTGTCATAGTCTTTGTAAACCTCACTCGCTGCTTTTTTAATTCCCATGTCATGCAGGTGTTTACAGAGCAAACCTCCTGTTCTAGAGCAGTGTATGACAAGGAAAAGGTAAATGATGATAAAAACTGACACGTTTCCTCAAAGAATACCCTTGGAACCACAAAGTTCCCTGTCAGGGACCTCTGATGCTGTACTGAAACAGGACTTGTGCTGGTTCTGAAAAAGTTGTCTTGGAAGGTGGTTTTTAAATAAATCATAGTTTTCATTTGTAACTGGGTTTCAAGTTTCACCGGGCCAGTTCTGTAGCACTGAAGAGCCAGCTGAGAGTATTCTCACTGTTGAAGTTGTGGTTTCAGTCCCTGATATTAAAACTGTTCTTGAATAAATGATCATTGTATTCCTGTTTAATGCCAGGGTACTACAGTTCTTCAGCACTAGTTCAAGGCAGGCTCTGTGTCCTGCTGCTTTTCAGGAAGCTTTTCATCCCAAAACTCTACCTTGGGTTTCCACTGTGCACAGCTAAAAAAAGAAAAGTTTAAATGTCAAACATTCAGTCCCTCATGTTGCCACACATGAGCAAAACACAGCAAAAAAGAACCATGGTGGACGGTGAAGCCTATATGGACAGCAGGTCATTACTGATATATTAATTCTGGTTTTAGAAGGAAAGACTAAAGGATTGTAAATGCTTTTTAGCAGCTGGCAGATGTTTGTTGTGCCACAGGAGGGCAGCAGCTGCCCTTGACAAGGGGCGAGGCACCACCTCCCTAACTCTGCACGTTGCATTAAAGAGTATCTCCTTTTGGTTTTTTTACCACTTACATTTGGGTTTTTTTCACTATCATCATGAGAAAAGCAGAGAAGAGCAACAGTTCAAGAGTCCCTCACGTTGTGCAGCCTGGCTTGGAGCTGATGATTGTACAACTGCGAGCAAGGCTGGAGGAAACAGTCACAAGGACACGTAGGCAGCGTGGCACAAACACCAGCAATCCCACATCAATCCCTGTAGACTTTGCAGCTTTCTGCAGAGGAATTAGGGGGAATTCTCTGGGGTTTGTGGTTTGCTCAGCTGTCCCTGCACTCCCCACCTGCCAGGTTTGGGGATGCTCGTGTAAATACGTTGTGGCTCAAAGTAAAAGCTTCAGTGTACACATTGCACCCTTCATGGGGAGCCTGGCTCTGCAGCCAGGGCTGGATGAAAGAGAGGAGAATGCAAATAACTTTAATTTTGAGGAGTGGAGAGAAGAAGCCACACTCTGAGCAGACGAGCCTTTCTGTTGCTGCTTGCGTTGCTCACCGTGCTTTCAATTTTGGGCACAGCATTCCAGTTGGGACTTGTTACAAGTATGTGAGTTTCGTTCCTAATGAGAAGCTCAAACCCAAGAACTATTTATAGAAGCAGCACAAGCTCCTCTCTCTGCCAGCCTGCCCAACCAGCTGGATGTGAGTGACAGGGCTCTTGGGGCTTAGCTGCCCATTCATGCCTTGATTGGGCTTCTAAAAACACTGAATGGCCACAGGGTTTCTATCAGCTGCTCAGCAGAAATGGGACCAAGCCCTGGCTAAGCTGGAATTCAAACTGTTGCTGTTTTTCTGTCTTTTTAATCAGCCATGCAAAGATCTCAATCTTAGCAGCACACACACCACTTAAACAAAAAAAAAAAAGTCAGACCACACATGTGATAAAATAATACGTCCAGAAATATTTAATGCAAGAAGGTTGGTGTTCAGTGGCACTCATAAATAAGAGACTTTGTTCAACACTTTACAACTAAAGCTCTGTCATACTCCATTAGCAGGTACTTTTGGGGAAGAGGCAGCTGCAGGGGATAATTTCAGTGGTATCATGACTCGAATGACAGAACTGCATCAGAGAGGGTGGAAGTGAGAGTAATTCCACTGCCAGGCTTCAGGGTTGCTCTCAGCGCTGCTGTGAGGCAGCTTTGCTCCATTACTACCCCTTAATTTCGTTTCTTCATCTCCTATTGCTAAATTTACCCAGGGGAACCAGCTGGGGAGGAGCAGGGACAGAAACCAAAGCACAGTTTATCCACGTACCTGACAAAGTCACCCGCCCCAGGAAGGGGGAGCTCTTCCCCATCCCTGCAGTCCTCGCTCTTCTCCAGAGATTCCCCTTTGTCCCCAAGCGCTGTGGCTGCCAAGGGCTCTGACAGTGGCTCCTTTGTCACACACAAATGTCTTGCTGGTTACTGAAACACTAGAATGTGCTGAATGCATTCAGAAGAAGCAGGGATAGCCCAAAGTGTCTGAAGAACAGGAGAGTTCCACTGCTTAAAACATGTGTGCTAACCAGTTTTACAACTGGGAGCAGAGTCCAGCCTGAGTTAGTGACAGCTCAGTCCACGGTGCATTCCCAGAATGGGTGTTCTTGAGTGAATAATGGCTGTTTTATAAGGCTGGTTTACATTATCATGCTTCTAACAGTTAATTTATACAAATATGTCTGCTAGAAATGAGACACTCCACGCTCTGACATCATCTAACAACTCCATCTGAATTGCGTGTCTTGGGTTGAAATAGTAAATGTGACACTCAAAGCAGGTGCCACCACTGGAGTGTCACATTTTGCCCTAAAAACTTCAGGATATGCTCAAATTGAGAATTTATGAGGTGGAAAAGTGCACACACCCCACACTTCCTCAGACCTTTAGTGGGCGAAATCAATCTTGGAGGCCAAAATCTCCCAACAAGCCTTGAAACTTCAAACTGCTTTTGAGAACTAAGTTGCAGTTATACTGTTTTCAAAATAATAAGTTATCAGGAAGAAAAAAAACCCAAACAATTAAGTTGCAATATTATCAGAGAAATTTGTTTTCTTTAAACTGGTGAAACTTCATCCAGTACTAAAACATGAAGCCACTCAAGCGGGACCTCAGCTTTACTTCCACAGATCCGTAAGAATCCTCAAGATGCTCCTTTTGCATGGAGAAACTTCCATGTTTTTGGGGTGGGGGTTATTCCACTTGGCACACTTCAACATCCACATAGTTACTCCACAGTCACTTTTCTCCATAAACATTTTTTTCTTTTTAAACCAACACCCAGACATTTAAAGGCAGTTATTTCAATATTGGCTGCAGTGAGCGTTGGAAATCTTCCAAGTCACTGCGACTTACTGGCATAAAAATGCCCTTTGAATTAGCTATTAGACTGATTATGGTATTTGCATTTTCATTTTATTCACAGCAAAGCAAAGTTCAGAATACTTTGAAGCTGCTGCAGTATCTGAGAGGGCTGTTAAATTACTGGGTAAAACTGGAAATAAACAGAATGCCAATGGCATGACATGAATATCAAGGTAACTTTTGAGAATTCCACCATGAAGGAATATTTATCACTGAATGCAAGTTGAGTTGTAGAGCAAAATCTGCTTACAGGCACATGTACAGGTGTGTGTGCCAGGCAGGATAAGCTGGAGTGGAACTAATTTATAGCATTGAAAATAGAAAGTGCTTTCCATAAAAATAGACTAATGTCTCAAAGTGCTTTTAGTTTGTCAGTGATTAGAAAACATTCTCTACAAGTTTTTACAGTTATCTTACAGTGATTTTCAGCAAGTTTACCTACCAGGAAGAGTTTTTTTTTATTTCTAGTTTCAGGAAGCTGGCTGTTCAAAGCTGCTTTGGTCAGCTATTGTGAGACTGCACTGCTCGCTCTGGAGTAAAAAATACCCTTTTTAAGGCTTCTTGTGTCTCCCACCCGCTGCACAGCCACCAGCAGCTCCTTCAGAGGCACCAGCAGGAAGCAGGGACAGGCACATCCAGCACCTCTGGAAGCAGCGGGAGCCAGCTCCCTCAGGGATGGCACTGCAACTACCCTGCAGTCACACTGAAATCAGGTTGCTTAGTCCCCAAAGCAGGCAAACTAAAGCCAAGTCTCAGCAGAGCAGTTTATAAGGACGCTGTGGTGGAGGTTACATGGAGGTTCCACCAGCACAACACCTCAGCAAGTCGCTGGCACCCACCAGCTGAAAAAAGAAAAGAGGGATTGCTCCACATCCCAAGCCTCCAAACTGCTTTAGAGTCGCCCATCCAGGCCTCACAGCCTCCTTCCACGAGGAATAACTACCAACAGAGACATTTCCAGCGATCAAAAGGCACAGCAAAGCAAGGCCCCTGCTCCCAAAGCTGCTCCCTGGGGGAAGAGGAGGACAGGCACTGACAGCCAGGAGCTGTTGTAAGGCATCAGCATGATTGATTTGCTCCAGGCTGTTGGAGGAGGTGGGGACAGGAGAGGTCAGGATCTGGACATCCTGAACTCTCTATCCTATTGGCCTCCCACTCTTATTTTAATCCCCCTACTCTGAGCTATACATTGGCTTGCTTCTTTAGGCACATCTCCCAGTTGGTTTCTCCCTATTCCCTACTCCCAGGCACATTGGGAGTTAAACCAACTCAAAAAAACCCCAATCCCAAACCAATTTTCCAGTGGTGATGCTCTTCAAAGAGAACTGAGGACGCTCTATGGCTTTCTTAGACGACCTATCAGGCTGCAATTCTGAAAACGATCCAAGGGGGACAGTGGGGAAAAAGGCAAACCACGTTTGCTCACGTAACAAGGCAGCGGCCTGTCCGCAGTAACTTACTCTCCGTGACAGTCTTTTGAGATAAAAGTCCCGAGTCCCAGGGTCACCCCCCACCTTCTCCAGCAGCAGTTTCAAGCAGCTCGTTTGCTGGCTGGGTCGGGACCGTCCCTGGGGCCCGTGGAGAAGGAAAGGACCATGCCAGGCACCTCGTCCTCCCTTCCCAGCCGGGTGCAGGTGGCAAAGCAGCCCTGGGGACGAGCCTACCGGTGGCTGCTCTGGTAGGCGTAGGAGATGGGCTGGCGTGTCCCGGGCCTGACGGTGAAGGTGTTGGTGGGTCCGCCGTACTGGGGGCTGCCGTGGGCAGGTCTGCAGGGAAAACAGAGAGAAAGTGACTGAAAGCCAAGGAAACCCTTTGGTTTTAGTTGGTTTTAGTTGGTATTGCAATAATGTGTTTTATTCTTGTTCTAGGGGAGCAGGGTGACTTCTGTGGCTTCGTGTCTCCACTCAGTGATGTGGGGAGGAGGGGCAGATGGGCACCCACTGGGACCATCTGGGAGCAAGGGCACAGCTGGGACCAGAGAGGAGCCATGGACAGTCATGGCTCTGGGACACCAAGGACAGGGAAGGGTCAGCTGAGGGGGCACACACGTACCTGCTGGCTGCCAGCACGCTGGCGGGCGAGAAATCCCCGTTCTGCCCCTTGTACTTGGTGTCGGCCCCGGCGTTCCCGTACACCACGGCCTTCCCAGCAGCATCCACGGAGGGCCGCCTGCCCTGCACCCCCGTGGGGCCGTTCCTGAGGGCAGGGCCCAGGCGGCGGGACCCCTCCCCACCCACGGAGCTGAACCCCCCGGGGCCGTAGGAGGAGAGGGTGCCCGTGGCCCGGGGGGCTGCGGCCGCCCGTGGGTAGGAGCTGTCGGGCTCGGACACGTACAGGCGCTTCTTGATCAGCGGGCGGGGGTTCGGGCCGTGGCCGGAGTAGCCGCTGGAGCTGCTGTAATCCGGGAACTGGGGCATCAAGTCGCCGTTCCTCCGGCTCTTCTCCGAGGGCAGCGGGGCTGGCGCCTCGTGGTTGACCCCGTAGCGGCCCCCGTAGCCGGGCCACCTGAAATAGCGCGGCTCCTCCGTGCCCCGGCTGCAGTCGGGGAAGCTGGGGCACTTGCGGCTCTCCTCCCGGCTCGGAAGGGCACCCTCGTCCGCCTCGTTGCTGAACTCGGGGGGTGGGGGGATGATCCCGTAGTCCAGCGCCGTCTCCCCGTTCTCCTCCTCCCTGGGCACGGCGTGGCGCGATGGGATGGGCTGGTTTGGCTGCCCCGAGTCCAGCAGGCCCCGGAGCAGGCTGGAGGCAGCGGCTCGTCGGTGCCCAGGCAGGCCGGGGGGCTGCGCCTCGCCCACCGCCCGCACATCCCGGCCCTGGTCCGAGGAGCTGGAGAAGGAGGGAGGTTTGCTCCATCCAGACCCCGCTGCCGCCGGCCGGGGCACCACGGTGAAGGAGTAGGGCTTGGACTCGTGGCGGAAGAAGTTGGTGGAGGTGGTGTCCGACGAGGCACTGCTGAGTTTCAGGGGTGGCTTCGCCCGCAGCGCAGACCCCACGTCCCCGCCCTGGCGGCCCCGCTGGGCGCGCTGCCGGGCTGCCAGGAGCAGGGCCATGGGGGACCCCCGCTCCACCCGCTCCCCTGTCACTGGGTGGATCAGCACCTCCTCCTGGCCCGCTCCAGAGGTGCCCGGGGGGCTCCTGGCTGAGCTGCCAGGGCCGGGAGGTTCAGCTGAGCCTGGGGCAGAGGGAGGCTCGGCCGAGCTGGCCCCAGCCCGGTGCACTTTGTACTGGAACACGGCCGTGCTGGGCTGTGGTGCTGGGCTCTGTGCAGGGGAGACGGGGGGCGAGGGGGAGGCAGGAGCAGGGGGCTCCTTCGCTGGTCCCTGAGGTGGATCCAGGGGGCTCAGGCTGCTGTTGAGGGACCCAGGAGCAGGGGTCAAGTCCTCTGTGGCCTTGCCAGTGGTAGGAGCGGGATGGTCCTCATGATCTGTCTCATCCTTCTCCACAGCAACCACCGGTGCTGGAAGCGGGCTTGGGACCGGCTTTGGCAGCACCAAGTCACCTGCTTCGAGGGGGCCCTTCCTCAGGTCAGGGGGGCTCTTCCTCACGTGTGGGGTGCTGATGCCATTTTCAGTGCCCTGCTTCTGGCCCCCAAGCCCTGGGGCAGGTTTCCCCTCTTTCTTCAGGGACAGCACGGCCTCCAGCTCGTTCCTGATCGTCATCACGCTGCGGGTGTGCGTGGCAGGGCTGCTCTCCAGAGCGGTGACCGTTGTGCTGGGAGAGCCCCCGTTGGTGCTGGGGGGGCTGCTGGGCACCTCTTTCTTCTCACTGTCCCCTCCCTTGGATAACCCTGTGTCCTTCCCAGCAGGTTGGGGCTCACTGAGAGCAGGTTCCCTACTGCCAGCACGGCTGGTCCTGCTGTCCATGGGCTGGGAAGCTGCCGGCTTCTCCACGGGCCTCTCCTCCCTGCGCGGGGAGCGCAGCAGGGCCGACAGCTCATGCCGCAGCTGGTTCAGGTTGTTGGCGTCCTTCCAGTCATCCTCGCAGCTCGGGTAGTCCGGAGGGGGCAGATCCAGGTCGTTGGCAGTGAGAGGCTCAGGTTTTGGAGGAGAGTCTCTCTCAGCTGTTTTCTGCTGGGGAATCTTCTCCACCTCAGGCACAGGGGACCGGCGGCCGGCTTGGCTGAGCCCTGAGCCCGGCTTGGGGCTCAGGGGTGGGGGTGTCAGCACAGCTGGCTTGGTGACGGGTTTCCTTTGCTCAGCTTCTCCCCCGCCACGAGCCTTGGCCGCGGGTCTGATGGTGAAGCAGGGTGGGAGAGGGGGCCGGCTGTGAGGCTGCCTGGGGAAGGGCTCCTGCCGGGCAGGCTGGTTCTCCTGCACGGGGATGGAGGAGGAGCGGGCCGGGGCCGGCGGGGGCACCTTGAAGGACCTGGGGAAGGTGAGGTGGGGCTCGGGGCAGTGCTTGGGCTGCAGGCTCTCCTTGGGGCTGGGGGCAGCGGGCACGCCGGGCTCAGCAGGGCGGACAGGCCCCTCGGCATCCGCCTGCCTCGTGTTCAGCACCGTCTCGGACTTCCACTTGGAGATGCCGGAGGGGAAGGGCGCCGGGTCCTGGACGAGCAGCGAGGCACCTGGTGGGGCTGGGGGGATGAAGTCTGGAGGAGCTGGTGTGCTGGGGGAGGACAGGGCAGAGGCTGGAGGTGGTGGAGGTGCCACGGCAGGAGGTGGTGGCACCACCTCGGGTGGCGGAGGCGGCGGTGGAGGCAGCACTTCGGGTGGTGGAGGGACCGGCGAGGCTGGAGGGGGTGGCACAGGCGCCGGTGCTGTTGGAGGGGGCGGTGGGGGTACTGAGGGTGGAGGAGGGATGTCCTCATCCAGGTCATCCCCCTCCAGAGCCTGTGGGCGCAGGTCCCCCACGGAGCTGTACATTCGGTAGTTGCCATTGATCTGGGAGCCAGAGCCTAGAAAAACAAGAGCGAGAGCACAGCGGTGTGAGCACCTTCTCCACCAGCACCGCCACGGCCAGTGGTCCCCCCAGAGAGCCAGCCTCTTGCTCAGCTTGTCTAAAGTCACTCACCCCTTAGAAATTAATTCATTTTCAATGGCTTCAAAAAATAATTCATAGTAGGCTGTATTTTGGCATGGAACTCTCACGAGCAGACTGTCTGCTCCAGAGCTCCATACACACACACACTTCCTGCCCTGAGGGCTCAGCCCTGCTGAGCACTCTGTGCTGGCCAGGACTCTGCAGAGAATATCCCTTACCAAGAGCTGCCTTTTCCTCAAAGTCTTCTGGCACTGAAGGCGTTGGCACAGCCACCCCATGGGATTCCTGGGCATTCTGTAAGAGTTAAAAAACCAGAGCTGTTAGTTTTACACCCAGGGTATCAGAGAGAAGGGCTGACAAGCAGATGGTTATTTATCCACGCAAACAGGGGTCTGATGGATCTTCCCAAGACATGGAGGTCCCTGTGGAAGCTGCTGTTGACAGAGTGAGTCAAGTGATGAAGGCTGCACGAGCTTTGGCCACAGTTTCCCTGTGGTCAGTGCAGAGGGGCTGGAGAGGAGCGTGGCTATTTCACATCCCACCTCAGCAGCAGCACTGGCTTCTCACCACCCGTGTTCCAAGCACACTGAACAGCTCCCATGGGTTTTGTGGGTCTTGCTCTCCAGCAAGCACTGCCAGCTCACACCACAGTCACACACACACACACACACACACATCATGCTGGAGTCACAGACAGACCTTCAGCTTTTTGGGAGACTGGCACCAGCATATCTGAACACCCTGGGGAAAACTGCTACTTGTGTGGTTTGTGTTCCACTCTCAATTACTCCCTTCACATTCATGCTGAAAACTCAGCAGTGCCTTTAGCTGGTACAGGACTGTGCAATTGAGCAGCCCACACATCTGTGGGGATGCCTCCAGTGAGGACACTTTGGGTAATTAGAGCCACCCAGCGTGAGGGATCCTCCACAGGTTGACTCACCTGGAGTCCTGATCAGGGCTCCACCTCACACATCTGCCAGGAGCAGAAAGCCTCTCCTTCCCCCAGTGACTCGCTGCTGGGACTGCTCTGAGGGGTCTGGAGTGGCTCAGGAAGGTACACAAATGCTCCCAAGTGCCAACCCAAACTGGAGCTGAGTCAGGCACAGACATGAGTGAGGCAGGGGCTGGACTGTCACAGAACAGCACTGGGAGAGACCGAGTCCTAGGGACAGTTCTGGGTGCCACAAAGATATAAAACCATTAGAGTGTCCAAAGGAGGGACACAAAGACGGTGCAGGGTCTGGAGGGGCCATATGAGGAGCAGCTGAGGGAACTTGGTCTGTTCAGCTGGAGAAGAGGAGACTGAAGGCGAGACTCACTGGATGCTGCAGCTTCCTCATGAGGGGTGAGGAATCTCTGCTCTGGGTGAGCAGTGACAGGACCCAGGGAACGGCTGAAGCTGTGTCAGGGCAGGCTCAGGTTGGATCTCAGGGAAAGGTTCTTCCCCCAGAGGGTGGTTGGCACTGCACAGGCTCCCCAGGGCAGTGGGCACAGCCCCAAGGCTGCCAGAGCTCCAGGAGGGTTTGGACATCGCTCTCAAGCACATACTGAAATGTTGGGGTGTCCCATGCAGGGTCAGGAGCTGGACTCAGTGATCCCTGTTGGGCTCTTCCAGCTCAGGATATTCTCTGATTCCATGAAATGACGCTCTGGGAGCAGCAGAAACTCGCAGCCGCCTCAGGCAGTGGTCGGGGACATCCCGTCCCATTCCCAGGCTCCAGGTCCACCCTGCTGCACTCCTGCTCACCCCAGGCAGCTGTTTGCACTGTTAACAGCCCTTGACAAAGGAAACATTATCCTGTCATCAGCCTGCACCTCTCCCTGAGTGGTTTCCTGCACACAAAAACCTGGATAATGATTGAGCCCCTGCCCTTTGCCTTTCACTGCCACTATCGCCATTTTCACATCAGGCTGCCAGGGGATTCCAAAGTCTCCTTGAGCGAAGGTCAAGTGGGGTTTATTCATCCAGCCCCATCCGGGCTCAGACAGCACGTTAAGGTTTCACACAGCCCTGGCTGGGGAGCTCAGGAGGTGCCTGATGGGCAGGGCTGATTTAACAGCAGCAGCCCGGGCTCCTGAAAAGAGCCCTGGAATGCTCCAGCTTTGGACAAAACAATAATAAAATACAAATACTTCACTTGCTACATCCATCACCCTGCAGAGGACCAAAGATCCTCTATAACCACACAGGGAACGAGGCAGTTACTGATGAGCCAGGAGTGAGTGAGTGGGAATTCACATTCCTGGGGATTGCAGGATGGATCAGAGAACATTTTGCTGATGGTGAAGCCAAGGTTTGCTACGGGCATCAGGACAGATCTATTAGTGGCAAAACACCAGGCTAGGTGGGCCTTGTTATCTTTAATATCTATATATCTATCTTTATATATATATCTTTATTTATATTATATATATATTTATATAAATATATATATTTATATAAATATACATATCTATCTTTATATATATCTTTTAATTTATATTATATATATTTATATAAATATATATATATTTATATAAATATATATATATATAAAATCTGAGATGTCTCTACTGTTCCTGAAGATACAGGACAAGGTAAAAGAAAAATCCTTGACTTCAACTGAAAGCCAGAGGGAAGGCCAAGGCCAACATAGGTATTTCAAGAGCCAATAATGACACTGTCCAGAGTAATGAGATATCAAAAACTACAAAGAAAAAAACCCCAGCAGGTCCCATTTGCTATGGAAATTCCTTGCTGCCAGAGCACACCGAGGATACCCGCTCATTTACAGGGAAACAAAGATGTCTGAGCACTGAATTAAAAGCAGAATATGCATCCCATGTTTGGAGAGGAGTGGAAAGGGACTGACAGTCGGAAGAGAGCTATGCAAAGCTGGAGGAAACAGTCTGCACTCCATAAATGAGGGGTAATTTTGCACATGTCATTTCAAACTGGGCAAGCCTGTTTCACACCAAAAAACTTCTGATGCAGCTGCCCATGCTCAGCATCTCTCCGAAAAACCACCCATCCCCACGTCATGAGCTGGCCTCTGAAATGGAAAGCATCCCCAGTACGCTGGGGATGACTGGGAAGATTGTTCCCTTGTGTTTGCTCGGGGTGTGGCCAGCCCTGCAAACCTCCAGCTGATTCAGAGCAGGCTCAGGGTGCTGTGCCAGGAACCTGCATTTCCAGTTCGTGGTACCTGGATCAGATCTGTGCACGCTGAGGATCCTGCGTTGGGGGGGGGGGGGGGGAAGCTTTCACTGGAACCACCAGGAATCACTTTTCATGCTTGGAACAAAGTTAGATGTCCCCAGTGAAGGAGTCCCTGCTCTCTCAGGAGAGACTCTTCCCACCCATTAATTGACCTGTTACAAAGACCACCCCAAAATACAACAGCTGAGCCCCCTGGGGTCTCAGAGAGGCCGAGGATTCCTCCACAAATGATCTCCTTGTTTCTGAGCCAGGGAAGTTTGGTGGTTAGCTGAAGGAATTTATTCCCCCAGGATGCCAAAGCCCCGCCTGCACCTGCAGTGCTGGGGGAACCAGGGGGACAGGGGGACATGGTGGGACCCCCCCCCCATCCTCCTGCAATCCCTGCCCTGGGACGGCCAAAGGCCAGGTGATCCACAGGGAAGGAAAGTGCTCCATGTGGGAAGAGCTGCCAGGTGCAGAGGCACAGGGAGCTGCAGGGCAAGGTGTGTTCATCCTCCTGACTCACTGAGCTGCTCCTCAGAGGGTGGCTGGGAGGAAAGGGTTAAGGCAGGAGCTGCAGAACAGCCCAGTGCAGGTATGTAGGTGGCAGCAGAAGCGTCTGTGCCAGATCAAATCATCATCAAGCCTCGTCAAAGTAGCGCAAACACCCGGCAAAGGCTCGTCCTTAAAAAGGTCCCTTATTCCTGCTCATTTCTCCGGCCAAACCTGGCACTGTCAGAAGAGAAGCTCAGGTTTGTGGGGGACCCTCACAAGGGCAAAAGAGCCCCAGGGCTGGCTGTGCCTCTGTGGGCACCAGGGCTTGGGTGACAGCCCTCAGGATTTATCCCAGGGGCATTCCTGCTGTTAATTCCTCTACCACATGCACTTCTACTAGCAAAGCATTTCAAAGCTCTAAAAAGATGCAAGAGGCCAGCTGCACCCTAAAACCCTGCTGATATGGTCACCCCCCCCCACCTCCCCAAACCTGTGCTGCTGGAGAGGAGTTTTTCAGGCACCAGTCCTACAGTTGTCCTGGATCCCACGTGAGATTTTTCACCTGCTGGGATCTTTTACGGGGCATCACAGAGGGAACAACCCCATTGTAACCCCATAGCTGCCCAATTATGCTTTCAAATAGGTAAATAAACTCCCCTCCTGCTTCATCCTTCAGAGAAAACCACCACAACCCCATGAACACCTAACTGTATCATCAGCCCAGCCTATTTTCTGCTCAAGGTGATGGCTGCTCTGAAGGACAGGGATGCCCAGGGAAAACCATCCCTTGCTCTCAGAGAAAGAGATGAGCTTTAAGGTTCCTTCCAGCCCAAACCATTCCATGATTCTGTGAATCCTGCTCCTCACTGTGCTCTTTAGGGAATAAGATCTCTGGAAAGGTGTGGTGCACGGGGGAGGAGAGCTTGCTCAGCACACACAGCAGTGGAACCTCAAAGCCAGCCACAAGCAAGTGTGATTTCTGCAGTTAAAGCCACCCCCAGGCCCTCTGGTCTGGCTGTGCTGGCCTCTTGCTGCTCCAGGCCCTGCATCCAGCTGCTGCTGGAGCACTGGGACCTCTTCAGGGAATGGGTTTGTTCACACAGAGATCGAAAAAATCCCCCTCCCACCCCTTGCACACCTGCAGCATCACCTCCTTGTTCCTCTGCTGCAACAGGACACAGCTCTGCTACTGCTGCCTCCTGCCTGATCCCAGGAGAGATACTGCCAGCAGTGGTTGGATAAACTGCAGTGCAAGCCTGATCTATCATCTACATGCTCAGCAATTCTTTGTTTTTAATTGAAAATGCAAGTCTGATGATGCTCACGCCTCTCCCCCGAGTACCTCGCCTGTGTCCAACACGAAGCCTTGAACTCACATCACCTCTTAATCCCTCCTCCCCACTGTTATTACAGAGTGGTTTTGCTTTTCATTTATTCTCTCCCCTGGGGTAGAGGACGAGAGCAGCAGCCAGCCCAGCTGGTTCTGGGCACCAGTTACACCACGGTGTTGCAATGGATACTCACCAGGGGTAGGAAAGTCAGCAGCGGCCGGACCCGGGGACGAGGTTTGAGCGTTGCTGTGCCAGAGTCTGTCACTGTCCCAAAGCGATTGTCACCGTAATACACCTCGATCACATCACCTGAGGGGAAGAGAGGACTGTTAGCAGCCAGCTCTGGGTTGGGAAACAGGGAAAGCAACGCTGGGCAGCACTGAATTTTAAATGGCGCTGTGGAGAATTTGCTGCGTCAGCTCCCAGGAACGTGCAAAACCCACCAGATCCTGAGCAGAACCTGGGTGGTTTTTGGGGGGTGAGTTAAAGACAGAGGGAGAAAGGTCCCAGATGTGCAGGACAGGCCCTGACGACCCTGTCACACACCTGCACGGCACAGAGAGCCTTCTCAGAGCTCCAGATGATGGAACCGAGCGAGTCCAGGTGTCAAAATCTATTCTGAAGGGCTGATTTCTAGTGGCAGCTAACTTAAATCTACCCCAGGAGGGGTCAGAAGTTAGCACAAGCACTCAACTCACCCCCCTCCCAGATTACATTTAGGGAAGGAAAATGCTTCAGGAGCAACTGGATCATCTCTTTGCAGTGCTGGGAGGATCCAACCCCCAGGAGAGCAGGGCAGGTGTGCACAGAGGTGACACAAACCAGCTCAGAACCAGGATCCACCCCTGGCTGATCCATCAGCAGCTGGAATTGAGGAGGGAGGCAGAACAGAGGGAGGCAGGAGAGCCGAACAGAAGGAGGGAGAGCTGCTGCCCTTCCTCACTCCGCTCTGTGGGCAGTGCTTGCATCGAGGCACAGAACTAATTACAGGAGCTTCTCTCAGCCCTGTCACTCAGACAGTGGAGAGGGACAGCAGAGGTGTCCTGGGCACTGGCTGCCCTGGCTCGTGCCAGGCAGGACCAGGATGAGCAGAGGGAAACCCCTTCCTGCACCACAGTGATGGGAATGGGACACGCAAGAGCTTCCCCAGGAGGTTGCAGCTGCATCCCCAGGGATGCTGCTGGAGCAATTTGTTTCTAATCCTGATGCCGTTGGCAACTGGGGGCCAGACTGTGCTTGACAGACTTCCACACCCCATCCTGCCTTACAGGGCAATGCTCCAAATGACTTCCCTCAAAATACTACTCAAAGTTCAAGATCCCCAGTGTTACAAGCAGGAGAAGCCATCGGGTACTCCTGGTTCCCAGCCCTGTGCTTTCACCTTGAACCACGCCTTTCTGGGCCTGGTTTATTTTCTGACAGTGAATAAAGCTCATAAAATTGATTTAATTACGTTCTTTGTGTCTGATTAACAGCATGAATTAACAGGCAGAAATACTGAAGCACGTAAACCCCACCTTGGCTGGAAGGAGAGATACACAAATAACTCGTAGCCAAGGAGACAGACATTAAAGAAAATATGAGGGTTTGAGGAAGGAGGGGGAAAGGAACAAAATGGCTGTGATTGGAGAGAAAACTCTGCAGGAGCGTTCCCTCCCAGCAGATTCTGATAGTGAAGAGGGAAGAAGGGAGGTGTAGGAGAAGGAGGAAACAACCAACCTCCCCCTCCACCCCAAAAGGCAGGTACAGAAAGAGTTTCTGTCAAGTGACTGGGGCCCCCACCCCATCCCAGACTGCCATGGCACAGGGCTGAGCCTGTCACCAAGGCTCTGCCCTCCTGGCATGGGCAGACAACCAGGAGGAAGCTCCCAAGGAAACAGCTTTGCACCAAGTCTAGTGGGAAAAAAAAAAAAAAAGAGGGGGGCAAAGGCTGCTTCTGTGTGCATCCCACGGAAGGAAAGCACTTGCATGAACACCTGGAATGAAGAACCTGACCACACCAGGGGCTGGGCATGAGCAAGCACAGCCTCTGCTGTGAACTTACAGGTTTGGAGGCAGATGAATTCCACACAACCTTGGAACGTGCCACCGGGCCCAGCGAGCACGTAAGCTTTTCCTTTTGCTGCACCACAAGTTAGGCTGGGATACACCCAGGAGTGTCCACTGTGCCACCACTGTCCTCACAGCCAGTCACAACTTCCTCTCCCTTATCCAAGGGGTTCTTTTACAACAGCTTTCAAACTACTAATCAGCCTGCACTTCAGTCGGTGTGGTTCTCCCAAGAGTTTAACACTTCTTGGCCTGGGAGGGGCCCAAGCAGGGCAGAGAACCCAGCAATTTAACAAGAAGTGTCCAAGGCCAGGTTGGACAGGGCTTGGAGCAACCTGGGCTGGTGGAAGGTGTCCCTGCCCGTGGCAGGGGGTGGCACTGGATGAGCTTTAAGGTCCCTTCCAACCCAAACCACCCTGTGATTCCGTGATGATTAATTTTATGGGTGACCCCACATTCAGTGAGTAAGTAGCAAGAATTAAGGCCGATGCACCGCGAGAGTCTGGACTCAGACAGCTTTGTGGAGCAGTGATAGAACAGTTCCGAGACTTGAAACGACGAGAGTTTTACATTAGACAAGTCACTGGGTAAACTCAGTGAGAAACTGGATTAAAGATCACAAGGGCTTTGATCCTAGATTACTAAGCATCTCTCAAACCTGAATGCTTTTAATTAAAGTAAAATGAAGCGCTTGTAGTTGTGTTTTCTTTGCTAGATAAACAGGACCTGCCTGCTGAGAGCCTGTCACCAGTAAGACCTGTGCTCTGCCAGCCTCATTTCCTGGAAGGAGGGATCAGGAAACGCAGCCTGGGAGGCTGTCGGAAGCGGCTGCCCTCAAATGACTGGCCCTGCTCCGGCCACTTTTTGCCATTCAGCCTGTCCTGGAGACATTTGTGTCTGCTCAGCCATGGGAAATTCAATAAACAATTTGCAAAGCATGTAATGGAACCTCTTCCTACTCGGGGGTTGCATCACCTGGAGTAGGTGCAGCAGGTTTGGCACCGGGGTATCCACAGCTCCCAGCGAGGAGGAGGAGAAGGAGGAGGTGGCATCAGTCACTATATTCAGGAATCTCTGAGTCAGGGACATGCAAACCTACACCCATTCCACATTGCTCAACTTGTGTTTACTTTGTATGAGAAACTAAGGTGGGGATTAGCAGGAGCCGTGGACTCCTCTTGGCAGCAGCACTGACGGTGGTGGCGTGAAGATATGCAGGAAATATTCCAGAAACAGGGCCAGGGATGGGGCTTCCCTTGGCTAGGACTGTGGAGCTGTGGATACCCAGGTGCAATAAAACCTGCCCCTTGGACTGAGCTGTGAGCTCAGCATTCCTCACACCAACCCACACCACTCCCGATGTGGTCACCCAGCTTTGGGGTGTCACACCACCCTCCACAAACTAAACTAAGGGCAGAAACGCCAAGAGGATGCTCGGGATTGATTCAACAGCTCCTATTCAGGCTCAGATTTCAGCACTCCCGGCTTTTCCTTTGCAATCCGACCCACACCTGAACGGAATGCTTTTGTACTGCCACTGCAGAACTGCAGCCACGGAAATCAGGCTTGTAATAAGCAGACACAGCAACTTTCTTCTTTTTTTTTTTTCTTTTTTTTTTTTTTTTTTTTTTTTTTTTTTTTTTTTTTTTTTTTTTTTTTTTTTTTAAATCCAAACCACATCAGAGAGAAGCTTGAATCCTCCTCAGATTTACGACAGTTAGAAATCAGCAATTTTCCTCCTGCCTCGCAGAGTTGCACGAAACTCCCTGTCACATTTTCATTTTATCTTGGTTTCAACAGCTTGGCCTTTGGGGTGTAACCACCTTGCAGTTGCTTTCACAGACAATACTTCACCCTGCACAGCTCAGCAGGCAGCGCTTCCACTTTTTTTTTTTTTCAATCTTGGAAGACTTTGTTGGGCTCTTACAGCCACCAAACTCCATCCACAAACTGCTATCTTCTATCTACCTGGCTCCATTACTATTAATTTGGCTCCCTCCTACATGAGCCTCCAGGGCACCGTATTGCAATTAAAACCACAAAGAAACACAAATAAATCCCGAGGAATATGCAACCCTCAGCTCCCCCAGCGCTGCGAGAAACAGGTTTATGAGTAAATAACTAAAACCTGGGAAGGCGCGGATCAAACATGGCGTGGGAAAGAGCGGCGGGGAAGGCACCAAATAGACTCACAACGACTTGGCAGCCTGTTTTAGTCGAGTTTAACTTCCCGGAGAGCAGCGAGCCCGCCGGAGCGGACCCTCCTCTCTTGCGCATCCCGGTCCCACCGAGCGCGCCGCGGAGCTTCCCAAATGGGCGCTGGATGAGCCCCCTCCGCTCCCTGTCCCCATCCCACCCCTTTTCCCAGCTGTTCCCGGTCCGCACCACCCGTGGCCCCGGGGGGTTTGGGGACACTGACCGGTGCCACCCGCGCTGTCCGAGGTCACCTCCTGCGTGAAGATCCAGGGCGGGTTGGTGGCGAAGAGGGACGTGGCGGTGGGGCTGGAGTGGCGCTTCCCGAAGAGGCGGCTGAAGGTGCCCTGCACCGAGTGGTGATGGTGCTTCTTCATCCTGGGCGAGCCGGGCGCTCCCAGCCGGGCATCCCCGCGCCGAGCCGGGACGGGACGGGACGGGAGCGGGGCCGCGGCGGTGGCGGGAGGGGCGGGGATGGTCCCACCCACGGACCCGCCCTCGCCAGGTGCCCCTGGAGTGTTTTCCGATCGGTCACACGCGGAGCGGTTGGGTTTGAGAATCACGGAATAACCTGAGCTGGAAGGAACGCGCGAGGATCGTCGAAGTCCAGATCCTGCGCCTGCACAGGACAGCCCCAAAATCCCACCGTGTGCCTGAGAGCCATGTTCCTGGGGACACATCCTGTAGGAAACCAGAAATTTAATCCCCAAGGAAAAGGACCTTGGCTGTAGTAAATGCTCATTTACCCATGTGTTTGCGTCAGGCAGCAGGGAAAGGAATAACAGAATCATAAAATGTCCTGAGTTGGAAGGGACACACAAGGATCACCCAGTCCAGCTCCTGGCCCTGCACAGGACACCCCAAAATCCCACCCTGTCCCTTGAGAGCTTTGTCCAAACACTCCTGGAGCTCTGGCAGCCTTGGTGCTGTGCCCACTGCCCTGGGGAGCCTGTTCAGTGCCCAACCAGCCTCTGGGGGGAGGATTTTTTCCTGAGATCCAACCTAACCCTCCCTGACACAGCTCCAGCCGTTCCCTCAGTCCTAACTCTGGAGGGGTTTGACCTTTCTCTCACTCTCTCCTGTGTTTCTCTGCCTATTCACCTGCAGCTGAGACCTGTCCCACGGGCTGGGGTCTCCCCCAAAGCCTTTCCACACCCCCCTATGTGCAGTGCACTGGACCTGGAGTCCCTGTCTGAGATCTGCAGGTGTCAGAAGTAAATGGAATTATCATCAGAGTCAGGGAAAGCTGCCAGGTAATCCTTTCCCTCTGCCCTGGGTATGCCAGTGAGCAAGTTAGTGCTGAGTTTCTAGGGAGCTGAGTGTTTAGGAAGCTTTCCAGAGCCCCTCTGCTCATCCCTCCTGGCTTCTGGGGGACCGTCCAGCCCCAGGAACACCCTGTGTGACCTGAGTGCTCTTGGGGTTTGGGGTGGTTTTGATGCAAAAGCTTCAAGGCAATGGGACTTGACCCCCAAGTCATCTCTTGTTTCAGGCACAAAAGCAAATTTCCAGCACTGCTGGAAATGATTTTTTGTGTCATGCAAGCAAAAATCGAGAGTTAATGAGTAACACTGGCTACTAACAAATGCAGAGGGTTCTGGAGAACTTTAAACCCAAAATAGCTGTCAAAACATTAACTCTGAAACACAGTTTCCAGCTTCAGGCTCAGGTAGTCTTTTCTTGTATCTATTTCCACCAAATTCAGAGTCAAAATGATGATATAGATTTCCTTTTTTTTCAGTGATAAATGTAATTTATTTACTCGCTTCAAAATTACACTTTTCTTGTGAAAAGCATCTCTTTTTTTGCCTTAAAGTACAAATTAGGGTGACAAATCCCCTGCGAAGTGTGAAAAATGAGCACTGTTATGATATTCTAATAGGAAAATCCTGGCACAAATTGCCAGGCAGCACCTCAATCAAGTGAATTAACGTGAATGGCAAATGGAGAAGGAAAAGGAGAGTTAAAGTGTTGGAATTCGATGCTGTGGTTGTGGTAGAGAGGCTACAACAATTTAAGGGATTTTCCAGAGAATTTCAACCCAGGCTGCAGATGTTCAGCTCCACCCAGGGGGTCAGGCAGATTCTCCTGGCTGGGAAGGGTCAGCCTGCTCCAGGCTCCCACTGCTGCTCCCAAAATCTGCTGGAGGAGCGGCAGATGACGCCGAAGGGGTGGCTTTGTGCCGAGCAGCAGGCCTGCAATTAGCGGGGCTCGCACCCTTTGTGACAGTTATCTTAACTGCTCTCTGTGTGAGACAGGGCAGGGAAACACTCCTCTAACATCTGCCCCGGCTCCCTGCCCTGGGACACACCACAGGGACCTTTCTGAGCCAGGATGGCAGGAAAAGGGATAGCCCTGCCTGCGGGGAAGAGGGGTGGTAGGATGGAAACTGGGAAACAGCAGTGCTGGAACCAGCTCCTTGAGGGAACTGAGCTCCAAAGAGAGTCACAGAATCAATTAGGTTGGAAAAGACCTCTGAGGTCCTTGAATCCAAACTTTGGCATTTAAAGAGAATTCACTGGTCCCAAAAGCAGGAATCAGGTGAAATGAAGGACCCACTCGCTGCTGGAAGGACAAAGGACGTGATATCTCTGCCGGGTAGGCAGGACATAAGTGCTCACTGATATCCACAGTCCTCAGCTGAACAAATCAAACAGGATATACAGACACAGTCATGGAAAAGGGGAAGGAGAAGAGGAACTGTTTTAACAAGTGAAGCCAATAAAATTCCGTGGAATGAAAACTCCTCGGCTCGTGCACAAAGGTGTCCCACAAAATCTCATTAGACCAACGAGACTTCAAAGGGGCTGCAGAGATGCTCTGTGGGAGCAGCAAGGCGTGATTCAGCTCCCTGACACTGCTGCGAGGTGTTCCTGAGCCCCAGGGCTGGGGGGATGCCAGAGCCCTGCCCGTGCCACCCCACCAACGATGCCTTTGCCTCACCCTGGGTGGTAAGCGCAGGGAAAAAAAAAAATCACCCTCCCAACATGAAGGGATGTGTGTTTTGAGGTGAATTTATTATCCCAGTGAACACCAGCTGCTAAACAATTCTGCCAGGGTTCGTGTGCACACTCCCATTTATTTGTTCCAGATGAAAGGTGGTTGCTCTTTGCCTTCCACCTCCCAGAAGAGCACAGACCTCCCCTCAGAAGTCCAGAAAAGAGCCCTGGACCAGCATGAAGGGCGTGCTGGGTGTGCTGCTGGGCAGGGGGACTTCTGTGAAGTGCAGACTCCAGAGACATGGGAAAGTTGCCCAGTTTGGTTGTATTTTTAAGGAGGGACAACTGCCACTCAGTGCAGTGATTGAGGCCACACAGCTAAAGGGACGGGTGGGCTGGGCTTGGGCACGAAGCTCAGGAAAGCACTTGGAAGATCTCCAGCAGATTTTATAGCGTAGAGATAGCCATGTGAGCCCTGCTCTGATGTAACACGCCGTGGTGTGAGGCTGCCTTTGATCCTAGCACGGGTAAACACCCCAGAACAATCTGCTTTTGCATCGAGGGTGAGGAGCTGCACCCTGCAGATGTGGATTGTACCCCACCACGCTCACAGGGGGGAGAAGGGATTGTGCAGCTCGTGCAGCTCCAGAGGGACCTGGAGGAGGGAGGGAGGGAGGGAGGGAGGGAGGGCAGGAGGGATGGGAAGGGAAACTCTCATGTGTAGCTGCAGAGCAGCAAACTGCACCTGTGGAAAGAGAACCGACTTCTGTCAGTGGGGGCAGGGGTCAATACTGCCAAGGCCACGTTTCAGTGAGGGTGGCAGGGCTGGCAGAGCATCCTGTGCTCTGACTGGGGGGTTCCCACTGGGTGTAAATCCTAATCCCCATGGCTGAGCCCCTCCTCTGCATCCTCTGCCCGAGCAGCCCTGCTCAGCCTGGGCACCCCTGTGACACCCACCACCCTGGTGACAGCCCTGTGGTCACAATGGCCCCCGTGGTCACAATGGCCCTGACAGCCCTGACAACCAGCACTGCCCACCCTGTGGGTGCTGCCTCCACGCCCCACAGCCCCACATTCCGAGGTGCCCACCAGGCAGAGAACCTCACAGGTGGGTGCTCCAGGCTTAGAGCTGGGCAGGAGAGACACCCTCTCACCACATCCCCATCCTGAGGGCAGGGGTCTGGAAGGTCCTTGCCCTGAGGGTGACCAGGGTGGAAAGGTCCCGGTGATGTCAGTGTGGTGAATCATCCCCTCCCCGCTGCGCAAATCCCGCTGCTGCCGTCAGACGGCTTTGCCCCCGTGGGGCTGAGAGCTCAGAGCAAACCTCACGTCATAGTCCTGGGGTGGCTCCTTGGAAGTCTCCAGGGGGACAAGAGGGGACACAGGCAGCGCTGGCATCCAGGCAGGGCTCCGGCAGCTGCCCAGGGAATGCTTCACCCGCACGGCCGAGCCCTCCCAGCTCCCTTGGTTGCTGAACCAACCTGTGACCCCTCCTGCGGGATCTTCTTTGACAGCCAACAGACAGTTGGGGAGGGATTAAATGTACGAGTGGGTGCAACAGGATTACGTGGGGCTCTTCATTCAGGCAGTGCCATAAATAATGCTGTGGGCATTAAACTGGTGCTTCCCCTCCGAGGCAGTGATCACGTAAGCAGGTCCATTCACACAGGGCAGGGAGGATGTTTCTGCAAAGCTTCAGGTGACCCAGAGGATAAGTAGGAGCTTCCAGGGCACCACAAGAGCAAAGCCCAAAGCTCAGCACTCCCAGGCTCGGTATCTGCCCGTCACTGGAAATGACTGTCAGGTCTCTATCGCCCAGCAAGGCTTGCACATCTTGAAGGCATCTACATGACTTAGCAATTGGGTTGTCAAGGTAGCTACAGCCTCCCCTCCACGCCCCAAACACACGGGATTAATGACATTAGTGCTCCCCAATGGGTGGGTGCAGCAGCAGCAGCACCAGTCGTGTGTGTACTTGTCTCTTCCGAAGAGAGAATGTCCACGAGCTATCAGCCTGCATGTGTGTGAATATAATCATTTCTGAACAAATCTAAGTGTGTTCAGAGCAGGGATACACAAACCACACTGAAGTGACTGCGGTGGTACAAAATCTGCTCTTCAGGAGTTAAAAATCCCATTATTTTCTCCCCTGGGAGGTAAAAGGACTGAGGTTTCCTTGTGGCAACAACTGCTGAAATAACCCTTGTCCTGAGCTCCAGCCTTGCAGGTGCTGGAGAAATGAATGACCTTGGAGAAATGAACAGCAAGAAGAGGTGGTGAACCTGTAGGGATCTGGTGATTCCCCTGGGAAGGAGATTCCTAAACAATTTGCAGAGTTGAGGGCATTCCCCTGCTAATTGGTTTAGGAGCCAGGGAACAGAAATAGAGCACCGAGTACGTCACGGAAACTACGAAACCTCTTTACGAGGTTAAAAATAAGCAGAAAGCAGAGTGTTTATTTAGAACAGCCAGGAGTAAAGTGGCTA